AAATCGTACTACGGAAGAGCGTGAAACCAAGGGAGAGCACATAACCACTGAACATCACGGCACCACGAAAAGGATGGGCAACCACGGATCCGCTGTTCGCGGGACGAGGAATGAACACAGGAGTGCATGAACAACTCAAGCGCATGGACACGAAGGTGTAGTACGGAATAACTGAAATGTGCATCGACGAAATGCCACCGAACCGCGTGAGATTACGGAGTGTAGAGTAGTTCGAGTACACAACACACCGTCGTATTCGAGGGCCACGACCGTACCCACAACATCAAAAGTACAGGGGTAGGACTTAAAGCACATGGCAACAAGAACTACATGGGGATGCGACCATCTCTTCTCCAATAAACCACACAACCGCCGCCGCGAACCGGCGGCGCTTGGCTAGCCTTGAACTACTATTACAGCAACCTGTCTGTCCGTCATACTAAAACAAGCTTTTTTTCGGACAGATTATTGGACAAATTTCAAAAGATAGAAGAGATGTGATTGTTTAATAATAAATGGAGCCCACTGATTGACTGAATTTATTTACGATTGGCCGACCATTTCCAGCAAGTTCTGCGCACATGAGAAAATTCATACATAACCTACGGCGCTCGGCCAAAAAGTAATTTCTGACAAAATTCTTTTTGTAGAGATATTGAAGGGAAACCATTTTCATTACTCTCCGGAGGAATCACTATCTTGAGCTGTACCACTACGAGGGTACCGTCGACTTTATGGCTGTACTGCTGATTGCAAGGTAGATTACAGTGGATGACCATGCTCTTTATTCATGCTGACGCGATGGGTCTCCAACATCTAGCAATTGGAGGTTTCAGACTGTAGAGCGCGTTCCAAGAAAAATTAGGTTGCAAGCGTGGCCGAAGCAAACAAATAGGGAGCTGTAGTTTTCTGATGCTATTTGAGATTACGGAGCTACTTCAAGGCTATGAAGTGTTGTTCCAAAAGTATATTCCTAGGAGTACCAGTCCACCTCTTAATTGTACTGAAGTTAAGTATGGGAGCATCCAAAAACATCCGGAAAAATCTATGATTAGCGTATCCGGATTTTTGTAGAGATATTCCTAACTCCAACTCCAGAGTTACTGGACTCGTTCGGACGTGGATTTACCAAACATACAGTACAGTATCAATAGTAATTATCACTAAATTCAATCTGGAGGTTAGAGGTAGTTTTGACTTGGGCTTGAGACCCTTTCCAATCTATTTGGGATATCACTCTAAAGATTGTCCGTATTTTTTTTTGTTAATTTTCTATATTCATAGTACTATTTAATTAAAGTTATGAACATTACTATCTGAAAACTCATATTAGTGTAGGGTACTACTCCGCGATTTCTTTCGCCGCAAAATGCGCGAAGTGCAGGTGCAGGAACTCGGGCGCGGTGAGCTGGACATGGCAGCGCTCGCTCGCCTGCAGCGCGTGGTGAACCGCAGCACCTTCGTGGCCATCGACACGGAGATGGGCGGCGTCTCGTGCCAGGAGTGAGTGCGTGTGTGCGCCAACCCTCTGGTTGCCTTGCGTCTAATCCCTTGCCCCCCGTGTCTTGCGCAGCGCGCCGCGCCCCAGCGTCATGGACTCCATCGACGAGCGTTACGCACAGTACTGCAAGAGCGCTAAGCAGTTCCCACTCGTGCAGTTCGGCCTCAGTATCTTCAACTGGGACGCCGATGCGCGCGTTTTCCGGGTCGAGACGTACCAGTTCCCGCTCTTCCCGGTTTTCCACGAGAAAGTGACGGGCTTGGGCCACAGCAACACTCCAACCAACGGAGTAACCGCTATAGCCTGTCCAGACCGTAGATTCCTACTACAAGCTAAGTGTCTGCAGTATATCCGCGCGCACGGCTTCGACCTGAACGCGTGGATTGACAAAGGGATCGGTCATTTGTCCCACTATGAACAGCAGCAAGAGCCGTGTAAATCTGCACTTGAGAAGTCAGCTAGACCCGAAATTCTTAGGAAATTCGACCCACAGCAGCCTGCACTTATAACGGACGAGACGCAGGCGTTCCTGGACCAATTAACGGACAAATTAAAGCAGAGACTGGCAGCATTTGAAGAAGGAACACAGGAGACTGCAGCGCGAGGTGGAAATGTCCAGGACAATGGGACAAGACGTCGTGGGCGCCGTGGAGGCAAGAAGAACAAGAAGAAGAACAATGGACGCGGTAAACGGAGAGGAGACAATAGAGACCGACTAGGGAAGGAGCCGATGGAGCCGCCGCATGCTGAAGAAGATATAGAGAATGGAAAGGAGGAAGAAGAAGACGAAGGTGTGGACGAAGAGAAGGAGCTGCCTGAGTATGATCAAAAGATGGCGGACGATAACGCTGAGCCTGACGAGGACACTGTGGCTGCGATGAAGCGCTTCTTACTGACGCCAGTGCCTACTGACCCGTCGTGTGGCCCATGCGGTGCGTACGTGACGGAGCCACTGGCACCATTCCGTCGACATGCATTAGTGCAGTATCTCCGCAAGGTTCTGCCTGATACTTTAGCTTTGGATTGTAAAGTAGACAACGCTGACGATGAAGACGTCGCTCGAAACCCGTGGAGACGTCGTGTACGTATCGTTGCAGCACGTTGTATACGTCAGAGACAAGCGTTGGTGCGTGCGGACGAGCAACTAGCAGACGGCGAGATGCGTGAGCGGAATCTCAGCTTGATCGGCTTTACAGCCGTGGTGGACGCCATTGTGACCGCAAGGAAACCCATCGTCGGACACAACATGCTCCTTGATCTCATGCAGTGCTACGAGAAATTCCATGGCCCATTACCAGGTCGCTGTTCGGAGTTTCAACGCGAATTACATGCGTGGCTGGGCGCAGGTGGAGGTGTTTTCGATACCAAGACACTTGTGGACTACGCGATGCAGAAGGTGGACTCGTTCGCCACTCATTTGGCACATACCGCACTTGAGAACTGCTTCGAAGTGCTGTCCAAGCACCCATTCTACGGCCCAGAGGTGCAATGCTCGCAGCCTAGCGTGCGCGGTGTGGACGCAGCAAGTGACGAACTAACGGGCTCGCCGCAGAAGCCACTGCAAGCACATCAGGCTGGTTATGATGCCTTCATGACGGGATACGTATTCCTTCGTGTCTGCTCTGGTCTCGCAGTGTCCAATCAGTGTATCGCTTCGCTGGGGAAGAACTCGGAACGCTCGGAGAGTTTAAAACACTCCGAACCACTGGAGAAGTTACGGAACGTTTTGTTTGTGAGCCATTTTCTACCGACATATGTGCTGGATCTACCGGGTCCGTACCCGAAGCCAACTCCGACACCGTCACGTTCTCGGTTTGTCCGGATGAAATTGACCCGTACCCGTGCACCTATTCCTCCGGGTACAACACCTTTGCCAAATGGGGGCAGCAATTCTTGTCCAGCATTGAAGACGTTTCATATCAAACATTGTGTCGGATGGGTACTTAACTTGCAGTCGGCGACGAGACTTGTGAACGTGCACTGGGAAGGACAGCAGTGTGTGTATGTCGAGCTACCAACTGCCGAAGCTGCCGAGCGGCTGCTGACAGTACGTGCTCAAACGAAGGAGTGCTGGGGATCTGCGAAAGACCCCATGCCGTCAATTGGATGCGTCGACTTGGATCGATGCCCAACATCTTACGACTGCGCGGAGATGGAGGCAACGGCGACGAACTCAGCGCCACCACAGCTCGCGGAGCAGTCAGCCAGCGACGATGAAAAAGCCGGCAGGAAACGCAAGAGTAGTGAGATGGCACAGTAAGGCTGATCGGTTGGTCTTCTTGCATGTGTACTGTACACTATGTATGTACGCAGTGTACATACATAGTTGGCATCGTGTCAATGTAATCACGCACTACGATCTAAGTACATGTTGCAAGCCTATTGAGTATTGGTGTTGTCCACTGAACTAATCATATTTTAAGTTTACATGTAAGCTAGACTAACTTATCCGTACCACTTTCGTGACTGCTCCCAGACTAAAATCAAGAAAATGAGATTGGGTCGCTCGCAAGCATTACAAATGCATTTTATCGTATCTGAGAATTGAAATGAACTGGACGGAGACCTTTATGTAGTGCTAGTTAGACATCTACGGGTTTATCCGTCGCCCAAGGCCTTGCTGAGATTTCCATTTTTGTCTGTTTGACTTCAAACTTTAATTGGAGGTGCAGGCACTACCAAGGAGATAAATTGTACGCTCATGAAGATCGCTATTTGAACTAGCTCATGTATAAACATAGTATCGAATTTGCATTTACTAGCCTCATACACCTCGCTGAAAACAACGTCTTTCTGGGCAGGTCAAGTACTTGCCCTGCCTAATACTTCCACGGTATAGCACTCGCTTATTGGTTTTCATCATGCTGGTACGATGCGTATTGGATACGATAGGCCAAAGTCCTTCCATTTATTTCTATCGAATGTGCACAGTACCTACGTTCTTGAAAAGGTAAAGCTAGTAGCACCCGCGAACATGTCAATACCAAACTTGGAGCGACAATAGTTTGTCCTACAGAGCAAATTAGAGGTTAAGACCACCATCACTTGAACAAATGCCATGCACCAGGGATGCTTAATGCTTCAAAATATTCTGGTATAGGAAGCACTTTAGTGCTGAAAGGAACAAGGATTACCCCCAGTGGGATATTCATTCCAGTATACCAATACAGGTACCAGTACGCCAGTAACGATAACCTGGCTAAATGAGACACGCATACAGAAATGGGGATTTAACAAATATTCATGTTGAGGATGTAGTAGGAGACGAGGTCTTTGATGCTAGAGAGGGCTTGTTCTTCAGGCAGGAAATCCACGACTGCTCCCCCCATCCAGCGAGGGTTCGGTTCGAGCAGCTCGCTCCTAATCCCCTTTTGGTTTATTTTTCATTCTTTTTCCCCCTTTTCTTTTCCCGGCAAACTTTAAAAAAGCAGCGCATTCGAAAGAGCTCATCGCGTTCTTTCGATTTATTAACTCACCAGCTACATTTCCTGACAAAACATGTTTGCTCGAAAAATTGAATTTTCATTTTTTT